CGAAAATAATGGGGGATGAAAAATGGCCTTACCGGCACTTATCCTTTATAACCCAAAATGGAAAAAAAACATCGTACGCAATCACATATTATTAAGTATATTATGACCCAAATTGGATATTAAAGTTTTATTCATAACTTCTTCACCTAGATCAATTGAAAGCAATTCTTTTATTACTTTACGTAAGATTTAGGATTTTACCAGCTCAACTGGATTAAAATGGCAGCATTGTTGCCAATAACACATTATCTACCACATTATTAACTCGAATTCATTGAAAATGAAACAGCAAAAGGCATAAACCATTATTCGGAATCTTCTCACTCAACTGAATTAAAACGAATTTATTCTAACCATGAAAAATTTATTTGAAATTTATAATCCAAAATAGAATAGAAAGAATTACACGGTATCACATTTTATTGAGTATATTATGATTCAAGATGGATTGAAAATAAATCATCGTGTTGGATAGTGTTTTGTTCGCAATGTCTTCATGTAAGTCGCTGAAAAAAAGAATTGTTCTACTAATGTATGTATTTATTAGAATTTTAGCACTTGAAGCAGAAAAAAAGAGGACAGCGTACTACAAAAATATCACTTCGAATCTTATGAGCTGGACTCCATTGAAAATCAATCATCAAAATTGTTTAACTATGATACCAAATGTTTCACCTAACTGGATTAACAAGGATTTATTTTCAGGATTAACATATTGTTTCAAATTTAAAATACAAATGGAATAAAAAAAATCATACTCAATCACATATTTTCAAGAATATTATCACCTGAGCTGCACTGAAAATCAACGATCAAAAGTGATATACTATTATTCCGAACTTTACCATCCGAACGGATTAAAAAGAAATTGTTCTACATACTTCACTATTACTTCAAAAATTCTGACAAATGTCAAACAACATCACCGTACTGAATAAAACCTGGCTTCGCATATCAAGAACTGTAATACATTACAAATTATCGAATTGGTCAAAGTTTTATTGGAATTTTTTTAACTATGAAGATGGAACAAAGAAACGATTTCACGGATCAAGGTTATTTCACCTTGAGTAAAACAAAATAGAAAAAAAATAGTCCCCAGTTACCTATTATTGAGAATAATATGACCCGAAGCACATGGTAAAACAATCATCGCGCTTGATAATATGTTACTCGCAATTTCTTCATGCAAGTCGTTAAAAAAAGAATTCTCCCATTAATTTATCTATTTATTAAAATTTTAGAACCTGAAGCCGACAGAAAAAGCACAGAGCATCCCTCGAAAGGAAAATATTACTTAGAATCTCACCATTTGGGCTGCATTGAAAAACAATCATCAAAAGTGCTACAGTATTACACGGAATTGTTCCCCCAGCCTGCAATAAATCATATATTAAATACACAAAATAAAAAAATAAAACAGAAGGTAATTTCTATGAATTATATAATAGTTCGAACTTTTTTCTATAGACCTTCCGACTCTCACCGACCGATAATCAGTATCAGTATGATGTCGCAGATTTTTACTTATTAAACGTCAAATTAAATCAATAAATGATAGAATATATAATAAAATACAGTAAGACTTGTATATATGATACATTAAATACATAAAATAAAATAAATAAAACTCAAGGTAACTTCTATTAATTATATACTAGTTAGGAATTGTCTTCTTAACAGATCCTTCGAGTCGTATCGACCCATTATCGGTATCAATATGATGTTTTATATTTTTGGGTATTAAAGTTCAAATTAAATCGATAAATAATACAATATATAATATAATACAATAAGCCTTGTATACATGATACATTAAATATACAAAATAAAATAAAAAAAACACAAGGTAACTTCTATTAATTGCATAATAATTGGAAACTTTCTTTTCATAGACCTTTCCAGTCGTAGCCAGCCATCATCAGTATAAGTATGATGTTGTATTGTTTTGCCCATTAAGCTTCAAATTAAATCAATAAATGATAGAATATATAATATCGTATAATAGGGTGTCTATATATCATATTTTAAATAGACAAAACAACATAAATTAAACAGAAGGTAATTTCTATGAATTATATCATAATTCGAAATTTTCTTTTTCATAGATCTCTCGAGTCACACCGACCCATCATTGGTATCAATATGATCTTGTATATTGCTGCGTATTAAAGTTCAAATTAAATCAATAAATGATAGAATATATAATAGAATACAATAAGACTTGTATATATGATACATTAAATACACAAAATAAAATAAATAAAACAGAAGGTAATTCAAGGGGGAAACGGCAGATTCCGGGGTTCCAAAGATCCAATATTTTCTAACGATCTTCAGAATAGAAAAATTATTTAATTTCTTTTAGTCTATTTTATCATGCGAATATTTCTCATTCAATGTAGTATTACAGAAAAATGAATCGCTAGAATATTACTAAAATGTTATTTGAACATATACACAACCGAAGCATATAGTTTTTTTTTCATCTTGTACTTTAAAAAAATATTATACGACTACTGTTAATAACTTATATTTTATTTTTATAATGAATTAAAAATGAGAAGTGTTACAATAAAAACAAAAATAAAAAATAAAGCTTGTGATTTTTCAATAATTAAAATATGTAGAAACGCAATAAATAAATCTATTGATAAGAAATAAAATTAAAAAAACAGTTTCTTAATGGCAAATGATCAAAAAAAGCAATATGAGAAGAGTATGAAAAAATTCTTTCAATATAAACATTATCTTCTCATTTTTTTTGCTTTTTTTCTTGTATCAATTGATGATTCATCAGTGTAAATATTTCTTTTCAGCTTCTTCATTGTGGATAATGTTGTTGGTTGTTCTTTACGTAAATCACAATCATGTGATGATATTGTAATAGATGATGACAAGGTACTTGTTTATATAGATGGTATTGTAATTGGTTCAGCAGTCGATGGTGCGCAACTTGATGATAATATTGATGTTAAAGATGATGATGATGCCTAATCTGATGATGCATTTGAAATTGAGGATGATTGTTGATTATTTATTTCATGTGGTACTGATAGCTGTTGGTTTTTTATTATTTCTTTTAAAGTTTTGCAAGTTATACCACTTTGTGAACCTTGTAAGTTACGATAGAAATTTGATATTTGAAATTTTCTACGTCTGAGAGCTAATGATATTATTTTACCACAACAGCATTTTATTTTACCAAGTGTATCATCTGGTCGATTCAAGATGAATAAAAAAATGGTGTCCTTGAATTAAAGTAAAATCTTTTAAATTAAATATTGATTTATTATTTTCACACCAGGAATTTATTGCATCAATAATATATTTATAATGTTCATCATTTGATAAATATAATCTTGGAATTGTTAAATTATCTGATGAATTATTCAATAAAACATTAAATATTGTTGTTGTTGTTGTTGATTGTTCTTCTGTTGTTCTATTTAAAGATAATGCTGCAGATGATGATTGAACGTGTTTTGAAGACTTTGTTAATTTTGCATCTTCAATATATTTACGTTGGAACAAATCAATAAGATAATCCACATTGCCTCTTACACCTGGCTTGACAACATATGTATCATCATCTTACAAATAACCAATTTTCTTTTAAAGACCATCTAAACTTTTACTTTTGATATTTATAACAGAGAAAACATCTGATGTCATAAGTAATGATTTAGTGTAGTTGATACTTTGTGCTTCAAGCAAATCAGCAACATCTTCACCGGCTTCTTGTCGAACAAAATTGAGAAAATCATCATCACATGGTGTCAGTACATTGGAAGGTAATTTTGATGTATTAATGAGAATATTTAGATCAAACATCTTTAGTAATTACTAAACTAATCGAATCGGTTGATATGAGGAATAAAAAATAAAGAGTTAAAAGAGTCATTTATCATTGTGATTTGTGATGATTCACAAACACAGGAAACCAATATCGATTGTAGAATTGTCATCTTTTCCATGATACTTAATTTTTAACGATCGTGAGCGACATATATCATCATTAAAATCATTAATTTTTTCTCGTCATACTATTGATTCATCATTCGACCACTGAAACCTATTATATAACATTTATTTGCCAAAAATATTTATTTAGATCTTAATTCGAACGAATTTTGTAAATTTATTATTTATCCAATTTTTTTTTCAATTTTTTTAAGGATACGCAGCAAAACAAAACGGTAAAATTTTTCGTTCAATGGACCATAATATTATTGAAAATGTATTTCATTTAAAAAATGATGATTTTTATAATTTTGTTAGTGGACTAATTGGACAACAACTTGTTGGTATTTTATGTTTTCAATCAATTACTTCTACAAAATCTCTCATTCGAAACCCGAATGTATTTGAGATTTTCAATATGAATTGTTCTGGACCTGATTTTTTAACAATCAGAGAAAGATCATGTTTTCAACTTGATAATGGAAAATATATTGTGAAAGTTGGGTTATTAAATAATTTAAACTATCTGTTAGACTTTTTGGAACAACAACAACAAAACCTAAATGTTAAAAATGATTCAATTGAAAAATATCCTGGTTTATCTTATGAATTTATCAACAAGCATCCATTATTGAAAAATTTAATTGATTGGTACCTGTTAATCGATGAAGATGATAGAATATGTGATGATAAACATCGATTATTAAAAGAATTTATTAATGCAATTATCTATAATTTAATTAAATCAAGTAATCATTTTCGATACAGTGATAGTATTAAAGATTTTGCATTATCTTTATATATTTTGGGTGGCAAGCTTACATATGAATTTGTGAGGTTAAATTTAGCGGGTTCTTTACCAAATTTAACAATGTTACATTCATTAATTTCAAAT